AGGGACCTAACTGGTAACTTTTTCCATGCAGAGGGTGGGGCATGCATGGGATAAGCTGCCAGAGGAGGTGGAGGGGGGCAGGTGTACAATTACACTATTTAAAAGGCATCTGATGGGTATATGAATGAATAGGAAGAGTTTAGAGGGATAAGAGCCAAATGCTGGCAAATGGGACCAGGTCAGATTGCTGTGTGACTCGAACTTTATAACCAGAACTGCAGTTAAATCTTTGAGCCTGACCCAAACAATTGTCCGAGGAATTATCAAGGTTCTGCTTTCTGGAGTGGCATTTTACTTATTTCCTTGTTTTCCTGTTGCCATCAGCAAACACATTAGAAATTTGCACAAAATTCCCTCTTCCCATCCCAGGTAAGTGCCACATTATAGCAAAGATGCAAATGCACAGAATGCAGAAGCAATTTAGAAGAACAGCTCCAGGAATGAGAAACTTCAGCTGAAGTTGGTATTGTTCTCCCTGGACAGAAGGCAGCTGAGAAGAGATCTGATTGAGGTTTTCAAACATCAGGAGTGGTCTGTACAGAGTGGATCAGGAGAAGATGTTCCCACTTGTAAAAGAAACAAGAACAAGAGCGTGTAGATTTATGATACATGCAAACTAAGCAAGGTTGAGTTGTTAGGATTCAATGATTATTGGAGTAGAAATGGTGGACAGGGATACAGGGAAATGCAGGAGATTGTACCTGCATCAGTTCTATTGCCCAATACCAAAGGGCCAAATGACCTCTTTCTGCACCGTAATTATTCTGTGATTCAAAGAATCACACAGTACAGAAGAGGCCCATTTTCCAGCACTGGGCCCAAAGTAAGACCATGAGACCATAAGACATAGGAGCAGAAATTAGGCCATTCAACCCATCGAGTCTGATCAGCCATGATTGAACGGCTGATAAGTTCCTCAACCCCATTCTCCTGCTTTCTCCCCATAACCCTTGATAATCAAGAATCTTTCTATCTATCTCTGTCTTAAATATACAGAATGACCTGGCCTCCACAGCCTTCTGTGGCAGTGAATTCCATAGATTCACCACTCCCGGGCTGAAGAAGTTTCTCCTTATCTCCATTCTAAAAGGTCTTCCCTTCACTCTAAGGCTGTGCCCTTGGGTCCTAGATTCTCCTACCAATGGAAGCATCTTCCCAGCATCCACTCTGTCCAGGCCATTCAGTATTCTGAAAGTTTCAATTAGATCCTCCCCTCATCCTTCTAAACTCCAATGAGTATAGTCCCAGAGTCCTCAAACATTCCTCATATGTTAGTCTTGAATATTATGATACTACAAGTGCTCATCTAAATACTTTAAGGTTCATATTTCCCACTTCAACTACCCTCCCAGGCAGTGCATTCCAGACTCCAAATACTCATCAAATCCTCTCTAAACCTCCTGCCTTTCAGTTTAAAGATTATATCCCCTTGTCATTGACCCTTCAACTAAGGTGAACAGCGACGTCCTATTCACACTGTTCATGCCCCTCACAGTCTTATCCACATCCAGTCAGGTGCCTTCTAAGCCTTCTCTGCTCCAGAGAAAACAACCCAAGCTTATGCAGCCTCTCTTCATAGCAAGAAAACAAAAAAGCTCCATCCCAGTCAACATCCTGGTGCATCTCCTCTGCACCCTCTCTAGTGCAATCATGTCCTTCATATAGTGTAGAGACCAGTACTGCACCAATACTCCAGCTGTGACCTAACCAGAGTCCTGTATAGCTCCAACATAACCCCTTTGTTCTTATAATCTAAAACTCGATTGATAAAAACAAGCATCCTGTATGCCTTAACTACCCCATCGCTCTGATTCTGACAAGATGTGGACAAAAAAAAAGTGATGATTATGAAATGCGCATGACAGCGAACAAGTTATCAGACAGCCTTCTGAAAAAACGTTATCGTAATCCACTAATAAAATGGGCATGTCTAGAAGTTTAGAGCAAATAGTCTGGAAGAATTTCCACACTGAATTAGGGCGAGAAAGAGGATACAAACTAAATCAAAAAATCTTCGAAATCCACACCAAGAAATTCTTTCAAACCATAATTTTTCCCCACATCAGACAGTGGTCTTAGCTTCTACAAAATTCAACGTCTGAACCAAAGTAAAACTAACTGAGCATACCTTGACTTTGTACTAAACTCTGGTATCAAATGTACCACAAAACCATCTTCTCATTACCAAATGAAAACAACACAAAGTGGTAGCTTGCAATACTTGAACCTCTCAGAATCGCATCGATGTTCTAATCTCAAAGGAGTGAAAATGATCTGCTTTCACACACAAGAGCAATCTTTGGTAATAGTAATCTTTGGGATCTTGTTCCTGTTACAGCACAATTAGGAAGGAGAAAGAATCAGAGTAAATGAGGAGGTTTGAAAAGTAGTTAGTTTTGTAAATGAGGGTTGGTCATGTGATAGTCCTTTTACAACTGAAATTCTCACTCACTTTTTATACAAGGTTTTTATAAACTTATGGTACAGCTGTTGATTACAGCAAGGGTTGCCAAGTTGAACATGGGATACTAACAAATGAAAGCCAACTCATTTTAAATGCTGAGCATACCATTGTCAAAATGGAAGTGTATCTAAATATTGCTCAGTTCCTTCTAATTAATTGCGTGGCTGCTTTTAATAGGTTTTGAATGAGAAGAAAGCTAAGTGGGAGAATGAAACTGCAAAGATGTCCCAACACCTTCAGAGATGCAGAATCGTTGCTCCTTAGCTAATGCACCCAGGAATGGCAGACCGAATGCGGAAAGACAGAATAAAGAACAGTGGATGCTGAACCTGAATTTCAAAGTTTTGGAATGCATTGGGCTATTTTACCATCATGATTTGATGATGCTATTTATTGAACATTTTTGAGCTATCGAGTAAAACTATGGATTATAATTTGTTTTTAGCTTAATTGGAAACAACTGCATTTTACTTTCAAATCATTTCTCCTACTTGAGCCATTGTTTCTCCTTTTACTGCTCTTTTAGTTCCCCCACATTCATTGAAGTTGAACCAAGTTTGTCGTTAATAGCAGCCCAAGCATAAGAAAGCACAAGAGTAGCAATCAATTTTCCTTCATGTGATAAATAGGTCTTGCCTCCAGCTGACATGCAGCCTGAAGTCATGAATCTAAATGTGTGGGCTGTAAATGGGGGATTGTATGATCTAAAATGTATTGCTAGAGTTTCAGCTTAGTAACTGTCTACAGCCCCATTCATAGATCAATCATTGGATATTGGAACCAAAAAGTGACAAAGGCAATAATTCTTTTGGCTAGTTTTTGGATAACAATACAATACAGCACAGGAACAGGCCATCCGGTCCACCACTAACAGTGAGCTGTCTTGTCCTGTTCGTGGGTGATAATACAGCTTGCCAATACTCAGTATTTCTCATGTCAACAATAACCACTTGGCCTGTGAAGAACTGCAGCAACAGTTACTCCCTTCTGGAGAAGGGTAAAGATGATAACCAGTAATAATAGCATTTTGTGATTTTAACTGTGGCAATACTACAACTTTAAGGAGGTGTATTTTGTCCTTTTCTTAAAAAAAAAAAATAGAGGTTGAGATCAGAGGTGCTGACCAAGTAAACAGCTTGAGGCACCTTGGATTTTTTTTTCCTGAGTTTGGAACAATAGAAGCAGCCTGAATGGGTGGGGTCAAACTCTCAGCCTGGATTTTTAGTTTTAGTTTTTCAGTAGCAGTTTCTGGGGTCTTGAAGCTGCGTTTGGAAGCTGCAGTACATCTCTTCCTGCTGGATTGGTGTCTTCTCGGTGTTTTTCCTCCTGGAACTGCCTGTGATACAATCTATTTTACTGAATTTGCCTTTGTCAACGGGGTATTTATCATGTGTTACTATGTTGGATCAGTTAATTAGTAGTTAATACACTTATTAATTTTAAGCATTTCAACAGTTACAGTTAAGCCAATTCTTTTAGTTTTATTTTGTCTGTATTTTAACTGTAGTATAAAAATAGTGTGTTTTGCTTAAAGTTGAGATGTTTAACCAATCGAATTGCATCTGAAATGCAACAGCTAACACTTACCTTTAAAGATAAGAAATAGTTAGGGTCCAGACTATCTTCTGAATATATTTTAAGGGACTTTGGTCTGGTCCATACCAATAGATCACTGTCACAAGTTACTTTAGAAAAATCAGCAGGTCTAGCAGCATGTGAAGAGAAAACAGGGGAGTACAAGAGTAGTAATTTCTTACTGCAACTGTACAAGTACTGGTGAGACCTCAACTGGACTGTGAGCAGTTTTCATCCTCTTATTTAAGAAGATGATGTATTTTGTTGGAGGCAGTTCAGAGAAGGTTCATTGGATGACACGTGGTACAAGGGATTGTCTTACGAGCAAAGGTTAAAGATGTTGGGCATCTACTCACCGGACTTTAGAAGAATGAGAGGCGATCTCATTGAAACATAGCGGATTCTTACGGAACTTGACAGGGTAAATGATGAGAAGGTGTTTCCTTCATGGGAGAGTTTCAGAATAAAAAGGTTACAATTTAAGACTGAGATGAGGAGGAATTTCTTCTGAGGGTTGAATGCCTTTGGACCTTCTTCCCACAGAGAGCTGTGGGGTGCAATCCTTGTGTATATTTAAGGCTGAAATAGAGTTTTGAGCAGCAGGGGAGCCAAGAGTTATGAAGAAAGGGCAGAAAAACGTTCATGAGGGATGGATGGATCAGGCACGATCTTATTGAATGATCGAACTGCATACTCATTTCTATTTCTGATTGACCTAATGTTTTGACTCCAATGACCTCTCTTCAGAACTTTACAAGTTTTTCCATGTAATTATCTAAAATACATAAGTTACAAAACATTATTTCCTGCATGAAATACACGAATCAAAATTGAAACAAATGTTATTCATCAATTTGCAGTTCAGCATCCAGTACACCGTGTCCCTGTGACCTTGATTACAGTCTTCAAAATACAGCACTCAGCTCACAGCTCCCATGAATTATAAACATGATTACATTACCCAAAGTAATAATGACTTGTTCCACGACCTGACAAGATCAACGGCTCGTAGGTCTTGCCAACAAATAAAGTTATGAAAGGGCCTTCCTGTTGTCCTAAAAGAGATACATAACATTTGGATGAAAAAAGTAACAGTTCCAATGATCCCACTGAAAGTTTCAGTTCCCTTGATGAAATATTACAGATAGCTCAACTACAATGTGTTGCACGTGGATAAAGACATTGCATTTATTGCAAATAATTTAAGAGATTTATTGAGAACGGTAATGCATGTTGATCATACAACCACCTCTATTATAGAATCCCATTAAAAACGAAGACAGAAGTTAAAGTTTGCAGCAAACACAGTAAAGACGACAATGCAATTGCTCCAATTGTCTGATCCACACTCCCTGTAAGTATGGCTTTAGGGAATGACCAATTTACTAAACGATCGTGTAGTAGTTTGAGAACAAGTAGTTTTCTGGATACAGGGACATATTGCAGACATGTAAGAGAAAAATAATGCCAGAATTTCCTTCTGGGCCTCTTCAGCAAAGTGGAAATGAAAATTCTCTACTTTAAATTTTTTGCATATCTAAACGCTCAACGACAAAAGGACATTAAGCAATAGGAAGTTTTCATTTTTAAGACCGAGAGAAGAAGAAATTTCTTCTCGCAGAAAGTGGAGTGTCTTTGGAACTGCTTGCCACAGAGAGCTGTGGGGCTACAGTCCTTGTGTACATTTAAGGCTGAAATAGATTGACAAGAATCTGTAGGGGAATCACAGGTTATGAAGAACGGGTAAGAGAGTGGAAGTGAAGAATGTTGGATCAGCCATGATCCTATTGAATGGCAGAGCAGGCTTGAGGGGCTGAATGGCCTACTCTTGCTCCTATTTCTCACATTGCTATAACCCACACTTAGAACAACCATGTGGAAAGTATTTAAAAACTTTCCAATAATGAATTGGAAGACAACATATTCATACACACACAGCACAGGGCTTTAGAATTCCAAATACCATAAAACATGCTGTTGACAAAAATAGCAGCTGTGTTTCATACAACAGAAATTAATATTATTATTAGCATTCCCTTTCCACTGAAAGCATTGCAATTCCAAAGAGTGGAGTGGAGTACTGTTAGCAAATTTTCAGGTATCAGTAGCTGCTATTTGTTGCTATAAGAAATAAACGTAAATGTTGCTCCTCATATCCCACCAAATAAGCCATCTCACCAAAATGGGATGCACGATTACCAACCATATCCCATTGGCAGCTGGTAAAGTTACACTAGTGAAATCTATGAAATAATCTTGAATCGAAGAGCCAAGAAATAAAACAAAACAAAAATAAAGATCGGAAGTTTGACAATATCAATCTGTCGCTTTACAATGGTCAGCACCTGGTTGTGTCAGATCTTTCTCGGGGCAGATTCTCTCAGGAACTTTACCCAGCACTGGAAATCAACTTTTTAACTGCACAATTCCACACTGGATCATGACCGAGATGTATAATTTTATGAAGCACATAGATAGGATGGACAGGAAGAAACTTTTCCCCTTGAAAGAAAAGGCCAGAGAGAATACAGTTAAAGTAAGGGGCAGGTAGAGGGGATGTGGGGAAAACCTTTTTCATCCAGACGGTGGTGACAATCTGGAACTCCCTGCCTGCAAGGGTGGTACAGGCAGAAATCCTCAAAACACTCCAGTAGTATTTAGTTGTGCACTTGCAATGCCAAGGCATCCAAAGCTGTGGGGCCCAATGCTGGGAAATGGGATTTGAATAGTTAGGTGGTTGTTTTTGACCGGAGCAGACTCTATGGGATGAAGGGTCTTTTGCTGCACAGTAGACATAGAACAGTACAACACAGGAATGGGCCCTTCGGCCCGCAATGTTGTGCCAAACATGACACCAAGTTAAGCTAAACCCTTCTACCTGCCCTGCAATGTTTGGGGAATAGAGGCAAAACACTGGTTAAAAACTGCTCATACAAAGGGTAAATGTCAGACGTTCAATTAAAGTGCAGGCCTAAAAGGAAGTGAATGGTCAACTCCCTTACCCATAACTGCATGATAAGTACATGCAGCTTCTACATGCAAATCAGGAAAGTCCAAATCTGAAAAGATTATTGTTCTATATACTTACCACAATGGTTTTGCACAGACACTGGGACAACTGCACTGTCCCTACTCTTAAAGCCACAGTCCATTGTAACCTCCTACTGTGGCACCCAGCCCAGATGGTTGTAATATAAACACGTGTGCACCACAGGCTCACTGTCACAAAGTTACTGGAAAAAGTAAATGCCATGTATTTAAATTGAGTGTCAGTAGTATTTAGTGGGCACCAAGTGGACCAGCACAATTATAAACCATAGATTTCTTCTAAAATTATGCTCCCCCATACAAGTCAAATTTCACTCATATTGGTTCAAAAGGTAGAACGTGTTTGGAGATGAAAAATCAATGGAAAAATATGTCTATTTCTAAATCATTTTGCAAGCTGCAAAACATTTTGATGATGAATCTCATTTATATTTTCCAGATGTGACATCTTCAACTCTGCCTGACCTATACAGCTTATGAGCTGGCAGATGATTTGCCGTTTTAGTTCTGGCAAGTTTACAGAAATTTGAAACAAGGTGGTTTATTGTTCTAAAAGCCTGGGTTCTTTTTCACGAAGAGGGTGGGGAATAAAAAGGGCCTCTACTTCTCCACAATTACATGACACAGCAAACCTTCTGGGAACAAGCAGAAGGCAAAATAAATGAGTGATTACTGTCCAATTTTTATTCTCTGCACAAAAAAAAGTCGTCCCCTGCAATTCTTCAACAATAAAACAAATTTCTTAGATGGCAATTGCAGACCTAAAGCTGGTTCTAGTCCATTCAAAGCTTGTAGCTGAAGGCATGTTAATTCTCTTCAAATACTTACTTGTCCCAAGTGACAAATGTTGCTCTCTGTGTTGAAATGCCAAGAGCGGCCATCTGCTTCATGTGCAATCCAGAATCTAGAAGCACAAAAAAAAACAGGGTTCATTTTAATTGAATGCACAAACTAAGCTAGAAAAACCTTGCTGAGTTTTGATTGACAGCTAACTTGAAGCAGTGGGAAGGTCCAAAAGGTGGCCCTGAGCTTAATGCTACTGGGGTATTCAGATAAGCATAGCATGCTTCCAGTTAGTTTCTATCCCTTTTAACCAGATAAACTGTGCCTATGAGGGAGGGGAAGTTGATAACAATAGAATTGCACTTTCAAACAAGAATCTACAGTCTTCAGCCAAGTCCTAATTCCAACAATGGAACTGCAAAGAGTCTCTCCAAATGCGACAAGAACATGTTGTATCAAGCTTTCTCCAACACCCAAGTGACCCAGGCCAAGATTCTAGGGAGGATCCCTGACAGGTAAAGGCAAAGGTAAAGGTAAAGTCATCACTGTCACAAAGTACCATCGGGCTGGTCTCTTATTAGACAAAGAGACAACTGGTGATGATCTAACCTGAGGGTCACCACACCTCAGGTGAAGTTGAGTAGTTGGGTATGGTCAAAGGTGGTAGATTCATGGTAACCTCAGCCAGCGTGGGAACTGAACCCATGTTGCTGGCATCACCCTGTATCGCAAACCAGCTAGCCAGCCAACTAAGCTAACTGACCCCCACCCCTGCTGGAACTATAACACCAGCAGAAAGTTCTCTCTCACCACCTTCAGGAATTTCACTCCTGGGGTTTTTTTTTCATGGACATACAGGAGACAAAATTAGAACAGTTCTGGGCTACTGAAGGGTAATTAAAAATAAGAGGACCCTGTGAAGTTGAGGCATACCAATACTGAAAGGGCCTTGAATGAAGCAAGAATTGGTTTCACAAGCAGTTTATAAAACACAGAGCACCAAAGAGGTCAAGGCTCAGTCGTCACTGTGACTAGTTCACCAGTTAGAAAGAAAATGCCCTAAATACAGAATTGTGTACCCATACAGCAATTGAGCAATAGAGCAGCAACAGACAATTTTAACCTTTCAAAATTGGGCAGCGTTAGCCTAACTCATTCAAACGAAGTTCCTTTTTTCACTATTTACAACAGACACATTAGTCCATTCAAATTTCTGAACAAAAATTTTGTACAATCCAGTTAAATGTATTCATTTTTCAGCAGCAGCGGGAGGTGACAGCGAGGACCAGGGGGCTGCCGGGAATATATTTGGGCAGCGGCTGAACCAGAGACACTAAACGTGTAGTGTCTCCCACCCGCCCCTCTGTGGTGTATTGGTAAAGTAAGGTTTTTATACTTTTTCTATTTCTTCTGTATTGTGTAATTGGTTAAAAATTTACTTTCTTTTCTTAATTTATCTATTAATTGGTTATTTGAAAAGACCATAGCAGAGAAGTATTAGAAAGTATTTAACTCATAAATTGATATAAAGTAATAAACTAAGTAGAGATGGCTGGGCAGGTGATGTGCTGGAGCTGTATGATGTGGGAGCTGGCTGATCCCATTGTGAACGGCAGTGACCACATCTGCAGCAAGTGTTGGTTGCTGGAAGAACTCCGGCTCAGAGTTGAAGATCTGGAATCTGAGCTTCAAACACTGCGGCACATCCGGGAGGGGGAAGAGTTACCTGGACGCTTTGTTTCAGGAGGCAGTCACACCTGGTAGACTAAGTAATTCAAATTCAGTTAGTGATCAGGGACAACAGGGTGTGACTGCAAGTGAGGCAGGTAGGGGGATCCCGAGTTCAGGAGTGGAGGAGCCTCAGCTTTTGACCTTATCCAACAGGTACGAGATACTTGCTCCCTGTGTGGATGAGGAAAAGGGCTGCGGGGGGGGATGAGCCAGCTCACCGTGGCACCATGGTGCAGAAGGCCATTCAAGAGGGGGGAGCAAAAAGACAAGTGGTAGTTATAGGGGATTCTATAGTTAGGGTGAATAGATAGTATCCTTTGCAAGCTGGATCGGGAGTCCCGCATGGTGTGTTGCCTGCCCGGTGCCAGGGTGCAGGACATCTCTGACCGGCTTGAAAAGATATTGGAGCGGGAGGGGGAGGATCCAGTTGTTGTGGTCCACGTTGGGACTAACAACATAGGCAAGGCTAGGATGGAGGACCTGTTTGGGGATTATCGAGCACTAGGAACGAAATTAAAGAACAGGTCCTCGAGGGTCATAATCTCCGGATTACTGCCCAAGCCACGTGCAAATTGGCTTAGGGATAAGAAAATTAGGGAAGTAAACACGTGGCTAAGGGAGTGGTGTGGGAAAGAGGGGTTCCATTTCATGGGTCATCGGCATCAGTTTTGGAACCGGAGGGATTTGTACCGATGGGACGGTCTCCACCTGAACCGATCTGGAACCAGTGTTGTAGCGAAAAAGGATGAATAGGGTTGTCACTAGGACTTTAAACTAGTGAGTTGGGGGGAAGGGAAAGGGAGAACAACAGGGAGTATGATGGTAAATAAAAAGGTAAGCAGTAGGTTAGCATGTGTGCAGGAGGATTTAAGTTCAAGGCAGACTATGAAAGAAGCAAAAAGAAAGGATAGCTCAGGAGATATTATTAGAGATGTTGGAAATCATGAGGGTAAGAAAACTAGCATAAAGGCACTTTACCTGAATGCTCGTAGCATTCGTAACAAGGTTGATGAGTTAACGGCACAAACCATCGCGAATGAATATGATTTGGTAGCCATTACGGAGACATGGTTACAGGATGGTCACGACTGGGAGTTAAATATCCAAGGGTACCAGACTATTCGGAAGGACAGACAGGAAGGTAAGGGAGGTGGTGCAGCTCTGATATTTAAGGACGCCATCAGGGCGGTGCTGAGAGATGATATAGGTTCTATGGAGAATGAGGTTGAATCCATTTGGGTGGAAATTAGAAATTCTAAGAGGAAAAAGTCACTGATAGACGTAGTCTATAGGCCACCAAATAATAACGTCACATTGGGGCGGACAATAAACAAAGAAATAACTAATGCCTGTAAAAATGGTACGGCAATTATCGTGGGGGATTTTAATCTACATGTAGATTGGTCGCACCAGCTCGGTCAGGGTAGCCTTGAGGAGGAGTTCGTTGAGTGTATCCGTGATAGTTTTCTTGAACAGTATGTAATGGAACCGACGAGGGAGCAAGCTATCCTAGATCTGGTCCTGTGTAATGAGACAGGAATAATTAATGACCTCATAGTTAGGGATCCTCTTGGGAGGAGTGATCATAGTATGGTTGAATTGAGAATACAGATGGAGAGTGTGAAGATAAAATCCAATACCAGGGTCCTGTGCTTGAACAAGGAACTACAATAGAATGAGGGAGGACTTAGCTGAGTAAACTGGAAACAAAGATTTTATGGTGGGACAGTTGACGAGCAGTGGAGGACTTTCAAAGCAATTTTTCAAAGTGCTCAGCAAAAGTATATTCCAGTGAAAAGGAAGGACTGTAAGAAAAGGGGTAATCTGCCATGGGTGTCTAAAGAAATAAGGGAGGCTATCAAATTGAAAGGGAAGGCATACAAAGTGGCCAAAAACAGCATGAAACTAGAAGATTGGGAAAACTTTAAAGGCCAACAGAAAGCCACAAAAAGAGCTATAAAAGAAAAGTAAGATAGAACATGAGAAAAAACTAGCGCAGAATATAAAGACAGATAGGAAAAGTTTCTACAAATATATAAAATGAAAAAGAGTGGCTAAAGTAAACGTTGGCCCTTTAGAGGATGAGAAGGGGAATTTAGTTATGGGCTATGATTAAATGGCCGAGGCATTGAACAGGTATTTTGTATCGGTCTTCACAGTGGAAGACACTAATAACATGCCAGTAATTGACAAAGAGACGAAGGTAGGTGAGGACCTGGAAACAATCATTATTACGGAAGAGGTAGTGTTGGGCAAGCTAATGGAGCTAAGGATTGATAAGTCTCCTGGCCCTGATGGAATGCATCCCAGGGTACTAAAAGAGATGGCGGGAGAAATAGCAGGTGCACTGGCGGTAATTTTCCAAAATTCGCCGGACTCTGGGGCAGTCCCAGCAGATTGGAAAACAGCAAATGTGACGCCACTGTTTAAAAAGGGAAGTAGACAAAAGATGGGGAATTATAGACCAGTTAGCTTAACCTCTGTAGTGGGGAAGATGCTTGAGTCTATTATCAAGGAAGAAATAGCAAGGCATCTTGATAGAAATTGTCCCGTTGGACAGACGCAGCATGGGTTCATGAAGGGCAGGTCATGCTTGACAAATCTTTTGGAATTCTATGAAGACATTACAAGCGAGGTGGACAATGGGGACCCAGTGGATGTGGTGTACCTAGATTTCCAAGAGGCCTTCGACAAGGTGCCGCACAAGAGGCTACTGCATAAGATAAGGATGCATGGCATTAAGGGTAAAGTATTAGCATGGATAGAGGATTGGTTGACTGACAGGAAGCAGAGTGGGGATAAATGAGTGCTATTCTAGCTGGCAGTCAGTGACTAGTGGTGTGCCTCAGGGATCGGTGTTGGGACCGCAATTATTTACAATTTATATAGATGATTTGGAGTTGGGGACCACGTGCAGGGTGTCAAAGTTTGCAGATGAGACTAAGATGAGAGGCAGAGGACTGCGAAACTTTGCAGAGGAACATAGATACATTGAGTGAGTGGGCAAAGGTCTGGCAGATGGAATACAATGTAAATAAATGTGAAGTCATACATTTTGGTAGGAGTAATAGTAAAAAGGATTACTACTTGAATGGTAAAAAGTTGCAGCGTGCTGCTTTGCAGAGGGACCTGGGTGTCCTTGTGCATGAATCACAGAAGGTAGGTCTGCAGGTACAACAAATAATTAGGAAGGCAAATGGACTTTGTCCTTCATTGCTAAAGGGATTGAGATTAAAAGCAGAGGTTATGTTGCAGCTGTACAAGGTGCTGGTGAGGTCACACCTGGAGTACTGTGTGCAGTTTTGGTCTCCTTACTTGAGAAAGGATGTACTGGCACTGGAGGGGGTGCAAAGGAGGTTCACTAGGTTGATTCTGGAGTTGAAGAGGTTG